CGAAAACCCGACAGTGTATCAGGTCTAGGTAACCCTGAAGCTTCATCTGGTTCTTATAGGAATTTAAATGGTCAACTGGATCTCTGGTTTCATCAAATGCCTCTATCGATGACATGCCAAATTTCTGGGGGGGAGGAAAGTGGAGGACCTTGAGAGTGAATGACGACTCAGTTTGCTGGACAGAGCGTCCATGGTATCGGGTGTCTTTTCCTTAACTACCTTTTTTATGTTGCCCACCTCTCGCTAGAGCTCGCGAAGTTTTTGCTCCAATAAAGGGTCCATGACATCTAGTAGGGGGAAGGGGTCTATCTTCTCGATAAGCAGCTCTAGCCCTACTATGGGCCTTATCTTTGTCGTGCTCTTCAGGCTATGCTCATGGAGCTCCGTGACTCTGTTAAGAGGAACCTGGCACTCCTGAGGAGGGGCATCATGTTCTGCCTAGGGTGGAGGATGTTCCTGAAATGTTGGTGGGAATCAAGGGAACTAATGTGTTTGTATCCATTCCATCAGCTCTTGGTTTTGCTTTATCGGTTGCATAGTAGTTCGATGGTAAGTTTTGAGCTCATTAAGCAGAGGGAGGTTCACCGCTGGGGGGTGACCTTCGACGTCCACTTTGGGGCTAGATAGTTCTCCGACAGGTTTTGGTGAACTTGGGGGCTGACGTGAGATGTACTAAAATTCAAAGAGAAATGATGAAAACTATTCCCACAGACGGAGCCAACTGATGATGCTCAGAATTTGTGGCCCAAGCCTAATAGATGAGATTGTAAAGTTTCTTAAGGTTCAGTTGATTAAGTGGCTAGTCAATAGTGGTTAAAAGAACACGAGATACAAGTGGTTCATCATAGTTGAAGGACTAAGACAACATCCACTATAAAGGGAGTCTCTTACCCCTCGAGATGGTATATTGTTTGATCTTTTTAGGATACAACGGTAGCGAGATACAACGATAGCCGAAGTTCAATGTTCTATCCTGACTGCTCGACTTTTGGCTTGAGGGTGTGAGTAGGAAGAAGAAGAAGAATAAGATGATCCCTCCTTCATTGGGTAATAGTTCTTTATTTATACAATGATTCTCTTAGGGTTTACTGCTACCTCTCCTCCTTCTGTGCTGATACCGTGGGTCCTCCTTTCTGCAACCTATGGCTTCCATTGTTCATCCGGCGCCACTGTTCCCACGATCTTTGGTGGTTATGCGTTCCATCCTTTCTGTGCTTTGTGGTTGTCGCAGGTGTCAGGAGTAGTCCTTGAGCCTATAGGATACGTGGTACAATGAGAGTGATTCAGGGAGGGCATTTGGGCAAGGCTTCCATTTTGGGGCTGCTCATCGATTATGCCAGATTGGGGTTGTGTATATAATAAGCCCCTTGCTGATGTTGGGCTTCCCCCCTTGGGCTCGGCCCTCTAGGCTAGAGATATGCCCCAACTATGGGTCTCATATTCGGATCGTTTTGTAGTGGACTCATGAAGGCCCATGACTCAGATTTTATCCTCATCAGTAACATATTCAATGAAGACAGTAACATGATCACTAAAAAAAATAATAATATGCTCACAAAAAATAGTAACATTCTAAAAAAATAATAACAATTAGGGATTTAATTCTGTCAAAATGGGCATTACTCTTGTAACCAAGATTTAAGAGAAGTCATACATTAATACTAAATTAAAGTGTTATAGATTTTGATTTTGTTGATTTTTTTGTTGCGCAAGACAATCAAGTATTCTTTGGTTTTGTTATTATGGAAAAAGTTCATGATATTGTACGTGAATCGAAAAATATAGTTCAAAATTTTAATATCTTGATATTCATAATTGGTGTTAAGTGTCGTAATTTAACTGTCGATAATGTGTGTTATTACTCGTCATTTTGTAAATTTTTAATTTATGGATCGTATTTTCACTAAAATCATTTGAAAGTTGACGTTACTGTGAAAAAAACTATTGTCTTGTATATTGTAAAATTAGATGTGTCATTGAGCACAAAATTTTGATGTTACTGTGAATATTAAAATGTATGTTACATAATATATGTCTCAAGGTTTGTAATTATATGTTAAAATTTACTATAATAACATTAGTGTCAGTATAGTAACATGACCCTAATTGTAACTTCAGTCATATAATAACATTCATGTTACTGAACTCTGTTGTCATTTTTCAATCTCTCTATATTATGCATTACTCTTGTTAAAGAAATTTTGTGCTATGATTTTAACTTAATAGATCAACAATTTTTTCTTACATTTACGCTTCCCATATATAATTATCAGAATATATAACTTTCATATAAAACTTATTTTAATTATTATAATATTTAATAAATGGTTTCCATATATAACTCAATTAAGGGTTTTCATATATTCTTCAATGATCTAGCCTATATGACCTTCTATAACTGAACAAAACTAACATCGTTATGATTAATTTTGAGATTTAAAAAATAAGTGAACTTAAGTACCAACATATAAGTTTAAACATGCACTTACCTTCAGATAAGTTTTCTTCCAGAACTCAAGTCATTATAAATCCATCTAAGATGACTCACCCTCAATTTTTACTTAAAATAAAGTCTTCCCCTAAAATTATTGTTTTGGATCCGTTGATGTCCACATATCATATATTAAAAGAGATAAATATCTTTTACCATACTTTTTTTCTATTTTCATCACTGGTATGTAAACCAACTTGTCTAGAAAGGAAACACTATTATACTGTACAATGACTATCTTGAATCAACCTTCTCAAGGGTTCTGGTATTTTTGCACATGGGCTATGACCTTTGTCGATCAGCCCATAAATGGTGACTTTTCACTGAACCCTAGTCAAATTGTTAGGCTAAAGACGTATAGTCAAATTGTTAGGCTAAACACCTATAGTCAAATTCTGATAAATTGGTGTTTCTTTCAGGTAAAACAAACATCACAAATGCCATTACCATTAGAAATTGTTGAACTGTTCCCCAATAATCTTTCCAATTTTGGAGAAAATTTGGCAAAAGCACATGCCTTATTATCTCTATATTTAAAGTATTAATAATAGTATTGAGACTTAATTTACTGATATAATTTATAAAGAACTAATTTATCACAACCATTGAATTGATAGCTGGTCCGAATAAATCCTGAGATCTACTATCAATCTAATAGTTATGAGTGATTAAGTTAGTAAATTAGCTCCAAATAACATTACTCTTATACTATTTTGTTTTAACTGTCACAAAATATTATTTTTTATAACGTATTAGAACGTTGCAATGTTACTAAACACGAGAGGAATAATAACGTGTTTACCAAAAAAATTACCAAATGTTTTTACCAAATGAATGTATCTGGTTAGATTAGTGGGTCTTATTAAAATTTTTTAATGAGAATCATTGATTTAATAATTTTTATTAATTTAATTAAAGAAACTGATAAACTATTTAATAATATTAACAATATTCAAGTGAGAGACACAAAACTCATGCTAAAGTAAACCTAGCATGCATTAAGGAGAATTTATATGTCATATGCCATCACAATCATATCTAAATGTCCAAACCATAATAACAATCTCCTCCAAACCCGAAAACGACAGTTCCTCCCCCTACGCTCCTAATTGGAATCAACCATGGTAATTGAATTTTGCACTTGTTTGGAATAAAATACAAAAAAAAAAAAAAGACTTAATGGTTCTAACAAAAATTTAATAGGACTTAATAACCCTTTTTTAGATAAAAAAAAAATTATCAGAATTAATTTATTTTCGCGTAATGACAGGCGCTATTTATTGAGAGTGGGGGCAAATAACTCAAATTTCGTGGGGTTGTTTGGTAGGGGGTATGAGAGGGTCTTGACGAGATGCGTTTAAGAAAAATAGTTTAAAACTCTACCAAATCTCATGTTTGTATGAAAATTCAGTTCCGAGTTTTCAAACCCGACTTGTAGTTAGCTTGAAAATTAAACTCATAATTATGAGTTTTATTAAACCTAGAGGAATCGTGGGTTTGGGAAGAAGGGCAAATGACTAAAGATCTAAAAGATAATTGTATCCCTTAATATGAGTATGAATTAGATTAATCAATAGTAAAATAGTCATTTATAAGACAAATAGTTATTAATAATTATGATATATCCGTGAGTCTTATATGTGTATGTGTTGCAAATCAAGCATGAGTATGAACCGAATTGAATGTTGAATCCCTTCTTTTCAAAAGTGGGTTTGAGTTTAGAAGGATTTGGAGAAGTCAATCTAAACTCCTCTCCAAAATTCTTTCAAACAAGTCTCATAAGTTCTTTCAGTTGTAACAAAACAAGTTATAAAATCAAATGTTGGAAATTTAAATTTTGGTAATTTTTTAGAATTAAACTATTATAGAATTTTCTGACATGAAGATAAGTTTTTGATATAATTGAAAAAAGTATTAATCGATATGCATATATTGACTGGCTAAACAAAAGATGAATTTCTTTCGGCAGGTATTTCAAACTCAATCAACTAAAGTGCACAACACACTACTTTTTAGCATAAAACAACACATTGATCAAATCAAATGAATCAAAATTTAGAGGACGAAATAGACTCCGTTGAATTCAGTATTCACACCACCAAATTTAAATCTGAACCAGCAAACCTAACCCCGATTCTCTCTCTCTCTCAGATCAGATTCACATAATCTGATAGACATAATCAGTACGGATAGGAAATTTTTGGGGAAGAGAAAAACCAGCAGATTTTGATCTGTTTCTCCCCAACCCCCAACCTGACTTTTTATCATCTCTTTTTAACCAGACCCAGGGAAAATCTAGATCTCCATAAACCCATCTGTTCTTGCAAATTCCTGTATCTAACAAACCGTCCCAACTAACCCAAAAGATTTAGTTGGGATCTTCGCCAACCCACCGACACATATGCTTTTTTGTATCTGAAAATCCCCAAAACACAGACCCTTTTATCCAATTCTTCGTGTTATAGTCATTCCATGTTCCAAAAACTATATAAGCACACACAAATCCGTCATGGGGACTGAGAAGAAATGGCTCTTCACACTCTTCTCTGCCACATTTATCTCCTTTTTGTTTTTTCTTTCCTCAATTTCAGGTTTTAGTGCCTCGTACTATTCTTTCACTTCCCACAAACCCTACACTTCAACCGTCCGGCATGGAACTGGGTATCCCCCGGCGTTTGCATATTACATTTCCGGTGGTCACGGCGATAGTGACCGCATGTTTAGATTGTTGCTCTCAATTTATCATCCGAGGAATCGGTATTTGTTGCACATTGGGGCGGATGGGTCGGACGATGAGAGAGCGAAGCTGGCCGGTTTGATTAAGTCGGTGCCGGCGATTAGGACATTTGGGAATGTGGATGTGGTAGGCAGACCTGATCCGGTGACCTACATGGGGTCTACAAATATCGCCGCCGTGTTGAGGGCGGCTGCCATCTTGTTAAAGGTGGATAGTGGGTGGGATTGGTTTATAACATTGAGTGCATTGGATTATCCATTGATTACCCAAGATGGTATATTATCTCCTAATTTCTCTTAGGTGAATCAAATTGAAGTTTAGTACTGCATTAATTTATTGGCATGTATTTACTGATACGTTCAAATAAGATTGTGCAGTTTTTTCAATTAAGTTTAGTTGTAATTTTTGGAGGTATTTATATTTTCGTTGTATGAGGAAATGGTTATACTTTCTGCTAGACACTTGTGTTGGTTCTGATCAAAATGTAGAGAAACTAGTGCAGATGTTGGGTTGAAATCTTGCACCTGATATAAACTGACACCGGTTTCACTGGGGATCTGTTCTCTCCACTTAGATAATATATCTCCTTCAGTATTTTAATGTCATGAAATTTCACATGCTGCCATTGGTATTGCTTTGCATAATAGTCCCTTTGAGATTTCATAGATTCTTATCTACTTAAAGAGTGTCACAAATTCTTAAGATTCATTTCATTGGTCATTTTTCTACTTGACCTATGCTGATTACTCCTTTTGCTTTTGTTATCTGCTTTCAGACTTGTCCCATGTGTTCTCTTCTGTTAGAAGAGACCTCAGTTTCATTGATCACACCAGTGACCTTGGATGGAAAGAGTAGGCTAACCCTCGCTGTTTTTGTCAGTAAATTTTTAGTACGTAAGCCTACTGTTTGAGTTATACTATTTTTCATTTGATGTTGTTGCAGGGGTCAAAGAGTCCAGCCAATTGCTGTTGATCCAGGGATTTACTTGGCTAGGAGGACCCAAATCTTTTATGCCACAGAAAAGCGGCCGATGCCTGATGCTTTCAAAGTTTTTACAGGCAAAGTTTCTTATCTATATTTCAATAGTTGTACAACTTATGCAATGCTGGTTATGCATAAAAAAAGTCAGTAACAGATGATCCTTTTTTTTTTTAATGTATTCTTCAGGTTCTCCATGGGTTGTCTTGAGCCGATCCTTTCTTGAATTTTGTGTTTTCGGTTGGGATAACCTTCCCCGAACTCTTTTAATGTACTCCACTAATGTAGTTTTGTCCCAAGAATTCTATTTCCATTCTGTAATTTGCAATTCACCAGAGTTCAAGAACACAACTGTTAATAGTGATTTGAGATATATGGTCTGGGACGACCCTCCCAAGATGGAGCCCCTCTTCCTAAACCAGTCAGATTATGAGCTAATGGCTCAAAGTGGAGCTGCTTTTGCAAGACAGTTTGCAATAAATAACCTGGCGCTGGATATGATTGATGAGAAGATCCTGAAGCGAGGCCATAACCTAGCTACCCCAGGGGCATGGTGCGCTGGCCGAAAGAGCTGGCTGACGGATCCATGCTCGCAATGGTGTGATGTCAATGCTTTGAAGCCAGGGCCTCAAGTGAAGAAGTTTGAAGAGTCTATGAACAAACTTATCTCCGACTGGAACTCACAGTCGAACCAGTGCAGGTGATGACATTCTAATTAAACAAAGAATGTTTTAAGAATCGGCTTGTGTTCTACTGCATCTGATTATTGGCCAATTTGAATACCATTGGTTGAGATGCATTCTTTTATCTTCTACACATTCTTTTGGGGAGGTTCTTCTTGGTACGGGCTGCTCCAGTGTTAATAGTGAGGGTCTGAAATGGAGGTGCGAGATAAATTCTTTCCTTGGGCTGTGTTAGAGCAAGAGCAGTCTTCAATGAATATGACGAACTTCCCTGTGTACGTCATCTACATAATATTATGTATTCTATTTCACATTTATTGGCTTTCCTTTGATACTTATTTCCATGTTAAGGAACAAGTTTATTTTTGATACTTCTAATCTGTTTGTTATTTAGCTTGGGAAGGATTATCTTATGCAGTTTATCTCTTCGTGTGGAGAGACTGTTTTTGTAACTCGTTTACTCTTATTGCTACATCTGGGATTTGGAAATATAAGATATTACGCTCAAGAGCGATAGTTTTCTAACAGATGGAAAGCAATTTTACCCAGTGATTGCTTCATTTTTGTGTATTAGTTCCCTTTATCTATGAGATTTGTGCTAGGTTTACCATTGGCCACATAGCATTACAGCATGAAGCAAATCAATGTCTGTTTGCAGGCAGGGTTTTGTTACTGTATAATCGTAGGTTTCCATGCACATGTTCGAGTGTGTGGGAAGGAAAGAGAAGGGAAGAGGAAACAGAAAAGGAGAAGATTTGTGTTGTCTCTTCTCTCTCCCCATGCAAAACCAAAGAAAGAAAAGAAAGAAGCGAGAAACTTTCCTACATTTTAACTTTCTCCTTGCCAATCATGGTGTAAAATATTTCAAGTATTTTGCTTCATATTTGTCTAGATCAAGCTTTGTATTCGAAAATCAGGCAACAAGTTACATTGGAGCAACGTTTTGTTTATGTTTTTTTTTTGGACGCGGTAAGTTATCACAATTAAATTATTTTTTTGGACAAAGACGACCATAGTAAATGGCAGGCTTGGGAAAGATAATGGTATTGTATCAAAAATTATAAATTTTTTAGTGTTAAAGATATATTTATTTTTTTGAGGTATAAATTATAATTTTAAAGGGCATAAATAATTATGAAAGATTGAGATTAATACTTAAACTTTTATAATTTATAATGGGTGTCTCTAATCGATGATAACATTCCTTCGGTAATTCTAATTTCTCCATTCAACTTTGTAACTTTACTCACTAAAAAATAGCAACCGGGTACCGTAAGAATTTCCCTCCAGACTTGCAGCGAGAACAAATTGAAAATAGATGTTTGGACACGACCACTTCGCCGCCCGCCAGAGCAAACCGGCAAGACACTCAATATAGTCACTCACTCACTCTCAAGTCTCACCTAATACTAACACAGTGCTCACTTGAATCTAGTCGCCGCTTGAGATGGGTCTCCCTCAATTAAATCGCTTATCGAGAACACTCGAAAAGCGCAATCTTTCCAGTCAGAAAACTAACCATTTTCCTCTTCAATCCCTTGTTCTTCCTTCCACGTCCACTGTAGAAATTTGCTATCTGATACCCATCCAAGATCAAAATCCCATTCACAACTTAGTGACCCCCGTTCAAAGTTTCACTGGGTTCCTTCCAAATCATTATGGCAATGCGTCTTTTCTTATGGATTGTAGAAATTTTAGCTTTTACAGATCGATCCATGCTGGTTCAATGCATGCCCAATTTGTTATTGATCCCAATAACCAAAATCCAGATTTAGAAACCGTCCGAATTGCCCAAAATGCAGGGAAACTCTGCAAGATTCTCTCAAATCATCGCAATTCTACGAGTATAGAATCTGCCCTGAACTCTGCTAGAGTTGAGGTATCCCCCACTCTGGTTGTGGAGGTTTTGAAGAAGCTCAGCAACGCCGGCGTTCTCGCTTTATTGTTCTTCCGGTGGGCCGAGAAGCAAAAAGGGTTCAAGTACACTTCTGAGGGCTACAATGCATTGATTGAAGCTCTTGGGAAAATTAAACAGTTCAAGATGATATGGAATTTAGTGACTGACATGAAACAAAAAGGCATGTTGAACAAAGAAACTTTTGCGTTGATTTCACGGAGATACGCGAGAGCAAGGAAGATTAAAGAAGCCATAGAGGCATTTGAGAGGATGGAGAGTTTTGGGTTGAAGCCGGAATTGTCAGATTATAACCGATTGATTGATACTTTGAGTAAGTCCAGACACATTGCGAGGGCACAACAGGTGTTTGATAAATGGAAGAACAGAAAACTTAAGCCCGATATCAAGTCGTATACAATACTCTTGGAAGGTTGGGGTCAAGAACATAATTTGCTGAGATTGAATGAGGTTTATCGTGAGATGAAGGACGATGGGTTTGAGCCGGATGTTGTAACTTATGGAATTGTGATCAATGCTTATTGTAAAGCTAAGAAGTACGATGAAGCAGCTGAATTATTTCATGAAATGGAAGGAAAATGTATCAAGCCAAGTCCACACATATATTGTATTTTGATCAATGGTTTGGGTTCTGAGAAGAGGTTGACTGAAGCTCTTAAGTTTTTTGAGTTATCCAAGGCTAGTGGTGATACTCTTGAGACTCCCACTTATAACGCGGTTGTGGGGTCTTATTGCTGGTCTCTGCGAATGTATGATGCGTATAGAGTGGTTGATGAGATGAGGAAATGTGGGGTTGGTCCTAATTCGCGAACATATGATATAATTCTTCATCATCTTATAAAGGCGAGGAGAGCTAAAGAGGCATACTCTGTTTTCCAGAGAATGAGCAATGAACCGGGCTGTGAACCAACTGTAAGTACTTATGAGATAATGGTGAGGATGTTCTGCAATGAGGAGAGGATGGATATGGCAGTGAAGGTTTGGGATCAGATGAAGACTAAGGGAGTTCTTCCTGGAATGCATATGTTCTCGACGTTGATTAACAGCTTTTGCCATGAGAATAAATTGGATGATGCTTGCAAATTTTTCCAAGAGATGCTGGATACGGGTATTAGGCCTCCGGCTCCAATGTTTAGTAATCTGAAGCAAGCTCTTCTTGATGATGGGAAGGAGGATACTGCTATTATTTTGAGTGAAAAACTTGAGAAACTAAGGAGAACTCCATTAGTTGGTTGAGGGCTGTAGAAGATATGCTGGCTGTTGAATTATAGTGACTGTTCAGGAAAATTTATCTCCCAACTTTACACATTATTGGCCCCTGATAATAGAAGTTTGATCCATTCTATTATTTCTACCTCACATTTTACATTAGTATCTTTCAAGTTTCAAGGAAAAATACAAAAGTTAGGTGCTCATACTTGAAACCACAGGTTCACCTAATAACGAGGACCTTGTACCCCACTTGTAAGGTTTCGGGATCGAGGCTTATCCCAAGCAAATGTTCTTTTTCCTCCAAATTGTGGACATACTTGGGTTTTGACACCTGAAGCATGGGAAGTTTTGATTTGCCATGATTTCGGGAAGTCTCTCTTGCATAAATTGGGAGAAAGGAGAAGAAAGATTTTTCAATTCAAGCAATATAGAATAGAGTTGACCGTTGGATGGAATCCCTGTAATGTTGTTTTGGATCCAACAGAGTTGCGTTTTGGATCCAACTCATTTGTGCAAATTCTGGATGCCTGCAAAGCATATGCTTGCAAGGATTGAATTTGAGAGCTCGAGATACTGACTTGACTTACCTCATAAACAACAGCAGCAGCCACAACAATGTGAATCGGATCACATTGTTACTGTTGTTATCAGCAACAAATCAGCCATTAGCAACCTAACTGGCTTTGGACTTGCCTCCCACACAAGGTGATCCTCTTCCTAGGAAAAGGGTTGAAGTAATCATGCCTCAGTTGAATCGTATGATTATGTATGCTTACCTCTAATTGTTTTAGACAATCCAAGTGATAAAACTGTCCAGTCCAGTTTGTTCAATCCAAATCTGAATTTCAGTACAACCATTGCAACTGTATCGGTTACGATTTTAAGTTTATGGTATAAAACAGTAAAGTTCATAGTAGAATAGAGTTACTCATAAAAATTACAATTTATAATATAATATCTAATGTACAGAGCTAAAATAGTATGAATTTACACACAGAACTTATTTCGTTTACCCACAAACACAAACCATCTCAAATCAATCACCGCAAGGTCACAACACTTTAAGAAGGGCATGTACCAACATATCAAAATTGATGTATACTTTCCTAAGAATAATATATTAACTCTCTGCCTCAATCACCGTGAACAAATAGTGATTGATTCTTCTTAAGGCAACAACCCTACTACGAGTGTTAGGAAACCTTCAAATGTCTCCATTCAAGGTAAGAAATTCATTTAACCCTTCTACGATACCCGATCAACTGCAACCCACGTTAATCAAGGCTAAAATTTATATTAGGTTACTATTCTTTTTCTAAAGAGTATTAGAAATTTTGTTCAACTAAATACTTTAAATTAAATTGAGATCGAGTTTGGATTAACAACCAGCTTTCACCCTAGTGTATATTTATAAGGGATCTAATTATGGCACTGAAAAATAAGTTTTTGATTTTTGGTACTATACTTTCATTTTTTATCTAATAAAAACAAGACACATGTAAATTTTTTTTTTTTTTTATGTTATTTTACTTAATTATTTTAACAATCAATTGCCATAAATATATCAAATAAAGATTTAGGATTACTAATTTATTTTAGTATTCACATATCTATACACTATAGTTACTTTGGACTATGAAATTGTTGATTTTTGTAGTGAAAAGAACAAAAATAAAGATAATTACTTTGTTGCTTTTGATATTTTCAAACCCCACCAAATAAATAAAGATAATTACTAATAGCGGTTGGCCCATCTAGGACTGGTCCATGATATATGCATACATGTAGCCTAAGGTCGACTCGACCCGGGTAGTAAAGTATAGAGAATCTTATTGCCTAACGTTGGCCAAACCCTAGTGTTGTGTCCAGCCCATGCCCACCCCTGGTTTGTTTTGTCTATGGGTGTCTATGGGCTGGGCGGTTTTTGCAAAGAAGTCGTTGAAAATGACAAAGCCAATGTGTTAAAAGTTGGAACAAAGGGACAATTGGCAAATTGGTATTGTTATTACTGGATAAGAGAGAGATCTCTTTGTGTTAATGGCTTTGACACACACGCAGACATGACCACAAAATGATGCACTAACACTAACCTGTAGTGGTCCTTTTTCTTAATCCCTGATATTGAGAGAGAGAGAGAGAGAGCATGCGGATTAGAGAGAGAGCATGCGCATGGGTCACATTTTGGTGCTGACAAAAAATGTTCATATGGTACAAAAAACTAGTTATTTGTACATTAAAAATAATAAAATAAAATTATAAAAAATATTCACAAGTCATCTCATAATTGGATAAAAAAAAAAGGTATGAAAAGAAGTGTAATTTAAAAGAGGAAAAGTAGACTATGGTGCCCAAAAAAAAAAAAATTTCTGTAGTGTATTAGCAAGTTTTACAAATTTTGTAGATTGAGATAAAATTTTTTAGATTTTATTTATAATAAAAATAATTGGCAACTTTTGAGGTCCTATATCACAACTTTTATAGTTTAACTTATAATCTTTGTGGTTATTTGTGATCAATCTTAATATTGACATGAAAAATTGTAAAAGACCCCCAAAAGTTATTAATCATTCTCAAATTTCAAAAAAAAATAAAAATTATAAAATTTGTAATTGTAGTATGGTACTGAAAAAAAATTTCGTAGACTCTTTCACAAATGACACTATTTCAGTTTATCAATCCTCTGACCATATGGAACAGATGTGTATAAAGTTGAGCACCAATGCTTGTCTTTGGCTTCAGCTGAATCAAAGGCTTTATGACCTGACCCTCTAACGAGACAATAGTACAAAAAGTAAAATGATACAAACAAATGATGAGCCACTTGGAATAAAATACACCTCACACCATGGCCAGAATGGGCAACCAAATCATAAGAATGAAACATCATATACAGGCACAAAGCAGAATAAGGGGAAGGTTTAATGATAAGTCACTTGGCATTTGAAACAAAATGCTGTGGAAGTATATTATATATATTTCAACCGTCAGAATGTTTGGGTCGGTTTGCTCGTATTTTAACTAGTTTTCTTTTTGATTCAGTTAAAAGTAAGTCATCCACATCGAGATTAGAGTATTTCTGAAGAATAAATTCCTCATGACTTAGCCTCAAAGGATTGTCAAGTTTCAAACTTAAGATGTTTTTATAATTATTTATCTAGACAAAAGGATACCAATAAACCAAAATTTTCATTTGCATATTTTAATTTCCATCTTAGGCATTGAAATAAGAGGTATATTAGCAAACCTGAATTTATGTTGACCACAATCATTTGTTGAAACTGATGATGCACAAATCGGCTTTACGCAAAATCAACAGTCGAGTATATGTAAGGGTGCAATTAATAAGCAGTAAATAGACAATCAATGACAAAACAATAAATATGGAATAAATACAAAGATTTATAGTGGTTCGGTCCGAGTGACCTACTCCACTCTGGAATGACTGCGGTGGTCGGAGATCTTTATTGATGAATAATGTCACTGGGAGAGTAACTCCGGGAGTGTTACAATGCTTTGAAGAGAAAGAGAGAGCAATGTGTGTAGGGAGGTGTAGTGTGTGTAGGGATCTTGTAGAGGTCTCAAGGTTATGTCAAGATCTTAAGGTCATGCCCTTTATGTAGAGATGACTTATATTATATAGGTTTAGTAAAGCGGTGAGGTGGTGACGTGAGGGAGATGACTTCTACTATTTTGGTAAGTGCAGTTATGGTAGAATTAGATCTTCGAGCGTATTCCGATATTCTCTCTTTGTCCTCATGTTCCGTCAGAGGAAGATCCTGAGTTGGGTTAGACCTGATCCTGAGCTTGGACTTAGGTTGGAGTGGCAAAGTGAGGAGCAATGGGCAGTGCTTGGACAGTTGAGGGGGCCATGGGCGACGTCCCAAGTGCTTGGGCGTTGGCTCTTGGTGCTTTGGGTGTTGTCCTCTTGTACCTCTTGGACGTCCGCCTCTTTGACGTTCACCTCTTGGGCGTTCCGCCCTCGGAAGTTGGCCTCTTGATGACTTTTTGGATTTTCTCTTGATGGGTCGACCCATATTGTGACACCCCAAAATCCGGGAGTCCGTTGATTACCTATCAACCCGCGGAATACCCGTAAATACCGAGTGACTCGATATCACACCGTTATGTCCCATTTACCGAGGTCCATAACTTAACAAACTTTGGGCAGAGTCTCCTTTGTACAGGGAACTCTACCCAATACCCAACCTGTGCAACATAACTCACATGACCCATCTGAGGCCCAATATAAACAATGACCGCACCGGGTCCATTTATAAGTAAACATTGACCACACCGGGTCCAATTATCCATATTTATAGCAAAACATGCAAGGTTACTTTAACATTAGTGCATATATGTAATAGTTATCATTTAAATCCACCAAGGTCTAATAAGCCTCAATATACCTCAATTAGTGTCCATTTGTATCCTTGGAACTAGAGAAATCCAAGTCCATTGGTGTTCTTTAAATCAAAGAAATCCAAGCCTGGAAGCTTAGTGCATAGTTTGAAAAATTTCGGTTTTAGAGTCACCGTTCGAACAACACTATTCACATTCGAACGTCCCTTGGTTTTGAAAAATAGGTAGCTCCCAGTACATTTGGTTCTCTGCTGGTTTTTCTGTTCAAAACTCGCACCATTCGAACGTCACTTTACGTTCGAACAGAAAATGCAGTTTCTGTTCTGCTGCAACTTCCAGTGCGGTTTTGACCTGTTTAGAAGTGGAATTGAGAAAATTTCATAAAAACACTTTTGTAGCCCTAGGTGTCTACTACCTACTGTAAAAATTTCAGATCATTTGGACATCACAATAAAAAGTTATGGCTCAAACACTAAGCAGTGTCTGAAATTTCTGTGTATGATTTCAACCCCAATCATCCAATCCAAGGTTATCCAAAACTTATACAACATCTATTTGATACCAAATATAGTCAATACAAGTTCTAATACAACTATTTCCATACTTTTACATGCCAAAATGGAAATTAACCAAAAGTTTTACAAAAACTAAATTCAAAAGCCACAACCCGGCTTTTCTTCAACCAAGAGCCCCCGAATGAGAGCCATCCACCGGAACGTGTCCCGTACCTGAAATTGTTTCCCGTATAGGGTGAG